CCCTTCGCCCTGCTCGATCGCCCACTTTTCCCTCCCTTGGCCGCCCTTCGCTGCCAAGTCCGGACTTGTCTATAAATAGCCTGACCCCCGCGATGTGTAGTCGAACCTTAGCGTTCAAAATAGGACTAAATAAAGTGCCTTCTACTTTATTCTCTGAGTGTTCCTCACGTCTCATTTCGAGACAAGTCTTATCTTGAACGGATCTTTGCTTCCCTCGCTCCCTCTCCGAGTCCACTTCGGACTCTACCCTTGCTTTCCCTGAGCTCACTTCGAGCTCACTTCTTCTTTTGCCGTTGAGTCCCCTTTGGACTCTAACATCATTTTGAACGCTCCCTCTTGGCTTCCCGGCCTTTCTTCTTCTTTCGCCTCTCTTTCCCTCGTCGATCCGATGGCTGAGCCTGCTGCACCCCCGGCAGATCTCAATGCGTACCTGGCGCGCATGGAGGAGCGTATGAACGCCCTCATGACCCAGAACGCTGCTCTCCATCGTCAGATCCAAGATCTGCAAGCTCCCGCCGCCGCTCCCCGCCAGGTCTACCAGGTGAACAAGCCCAAGGAGTTCCTAGGTTCCCGCGACGAGACGACGGCCTTCCTCGCCCAGTGCCACCTCGTCTTCCTCGCCGATCCTGCCTTCTTTGCGCCCGAGCGCCAGAAGGTCCTTTATGCCACCTCCTTCCTCCGCGGCGAAGCTTTCAAATGGTACGAGGCCGCCTTTTATATGGCCAACCGCTTCCCGGCTTCCTTCGCGGATTTTGAAGTTGCCCTCAAGTCGACCTTCGGTGAGGACACGGCCTCCTCGCAAGATAAGGCCTTGAACGACCTCAAACGCTTGGTCCAGCTCAAGTCCTGCCAAGCCTTCGCCACCCGCTTCGTCCAGCTCGCCGCCCGCGTCCAGACTGACGAACCCACCAAGATGCACTTCTTCAAGGAGGGTTTGAAGTCTGAGGTCAAGTTCCACCTCATCGGTCTCCGCCCCGCTCCCGCTGCTTTTCAGTTTTTTATGAACGACATCTTCTCGGACCTCCTTGGTGTCTGTGTTGTCATTTATCTTGACGACATCCTGATCTTCTCAAAAGATCCCCAGGAGCATGAGGAGCATGTTAAGCTTGTTCTCTCTCGCCTTCGTGAACACTCCCTTAAGGTCAATCCGGCCAAGTGTTCTTTTGACCTTTCTGAAGTTGACTTTCTCGGCATGATCATTTCTGCCGATGGCATCAAAATGGACCCTGCCAAGGTCGAGGCCGTTTCCCTTTGGCCTGTTCCCTCTTCTGCTCGCGATATCCAAGTCTTTATTGGTTTCGCAAACTTTTACCGCCGCTTCGTCAAGGACTTTTCCGCACTTGCTCGTCCTTTGACTTCCCTCACTACCAAATCCTCCACCTTCTCTTGGTCTCCCGAGGCCCAAGAGGCTTTTGATTCTCTTAAACTTTCCTTCACTTCCGCACCTATTCTTCGATACTTTGATTTCTCTAAACCCGCTGTCATCGAGCCCGATGCTTCTGACTTTGCTTTGGGTGCCGTCCTTTCTCAGTTTGACCCTGACGGCGCTCTTCACCCCGTTGCTTTTCACTCTCGGCAATTCCGTCCCGCCGAGGTGAATTATGACACTCACGACAAAGAGCTCCTCGCCATTGTCGATTCCTTTACCGCCTGGCGTCATTACTTGATGGCTGCCGACCCTGATATTCCCACTCTTGTTTTCTCTGATCATCAGAACCTTACCCGGTTCACTGCCGCTTCTCAACTTTCTCGCCGCCAGTTCCGGTGGGCCCAATTCCTTTCTGACTTTGCTTTTCGCATTTACCACCGCCCTGGTCGTCTCAACACCAAAGCCGATGCTCTCAGTCGCCGTTCTGACTTTGAGATAAAGCCTGGTGACTCCCTCCACTCCACCAACTTCCTTCAGCTGTTCGAGTCTATTTCTCTCGACAGCATCACTGTTATCGGCTCGAATCCCGACTTTCTTTCCGAGATTCGAGCTGCCACCCTTTCTTGTTCCCTCCTTTCTGACTTTAACGCCAAACGTCTTGATGGCGATTACTCCTTCCGTGACGGTCTCCTTTACTTTAAAGACCTGATCGTTGTCCCTTCCCCCGAGCTCCAGCTCAAAGTGTTTGAGCAACGTCACTGCTCCGCTGCCGCTGGTCACTTTGGTCTTGCCAAGACCGTTGAGCTCGTCTCCCGGGACTTTCACTGGCCCCGGCTTCGTAAGTCTGTGCGTCGCTTCATTGCTAATTGTGAAGCGTGCCAGCGAGCCAAGCCGTCCCGTCACTCCCCTTATGGTTTACTTCATCCTCTCCCCGTTCCTTCCGAACGTTGGTGGGACCTGTCGATGGACTTCATCACGGATCTCCCACCTTCGAACGGTTTTGACTCGATCTTCGTGGTTAAGGACCGCCTGTCCAAACAAGCACACTTTGTGCCCACCACGAAGACGGTTACAGGCGAGCAAACCGCCGAACTCTTCCTCTCCCACATCTTCCGCTTGCATGGTTGTCCCCGGTCTATTGTTTCGGACCGAGGAACTCAGTTTACTTCGGCCTTCTGGAGGCGCTTCAATGAGCTTCTGAAGACGAAGATTTCCCTTTCTTCTGCCTTCCACCCCGAGACCGACGGTTCGACCGAGGTTCTCAACCAGGTCATCGAGCAGTATTTGCGTATCCATTGCAATTACCTGCAAGACGACTGGACCCTTCACCTTCCCCTTGCCGAGTTCACTTACAACAACTCGGAAAACACCTCCACTGGCATGACTCCCTTCTTTGCAGTCCATGGCCATCACCCCATTTTCGATCCCTCTATCATTCGTGATCCCTCTGTTGTGCCCTCTGCCGAAGAACGTGTCGACCGACTTCAGACCGTTCTCGAGGATCTCAAGGCCAACCTCCGGGTTGCCCAAGAGTCCTACACTGTGCAGGCCAACAAATCCCGTCTCCCCACTCCCGACATCTCCGTTGGCGACCTCGTTTTTCTGGATCGTCGCCACATTCGCACCCTTCGTCCCTCCAACAAGCTTGACCAGAAAAAGCTTGGCCCCTTTAAAGTTCTTCGCCGCATCAACCCCGTTGCCTTTGAGCTTAAACTCCCTTCCACACTTAAAGTTCACCCCGTTTTCCATGTATCCCTCCTTGAACCCCGAACGAAGGACATTGTTCCCGAGTTCACCCAACCAGAACCACCTCCCATTCTTGTTAACTCCCAGGAAGAGTTTGAGGTCGAGACTGTTCTCGATTCTCGGCTCTTCCGTGGTCGCTTACAGTACTTGGTTCAGTGGAAGGGCTATTCCGAGACTGACCGGTCTTGGGAGCCCGCTGCCAATGTTTCCCACGCCACTGATCTTGTTGCTGACTTCCACCTTCGCTATCCCTCAAAGCCGAAGGCGACGTCCGGAGTTCGTCGCTAAGGAAGGGGATGATGTTAGGGATAGCTCCTGCTTGTTCTCCACTTTGACTGCACACTTGGCTATTCTTTTGCCTTTCTGTTTGTTTGTGTGTAGCCTTGCAGTTCCCCTCCGATTTTCCGCCTTTTGCCTGTCTTTTCCGCTCCTTCCGCACTTCCGTTTTCCCGCGCTGCTCCGCTTCCTTTGTCTTCTTCGCACGCGCCGGTTTGTTTGTGCACGCGCCTTGCTGCGATTGGTTGCAATTCGGCTGCCGGTCATGTGTCCCCCCACCGGTGACTCATGACCTGCCTGACCGCCCCGATCTCTTGTTCATCTCGCATGCATTTGCCCCAACCTTATACTTGACCAATCCGCTTCTTGGACGTTGAGTCACATTGCTTCGCCTTTGCACGTTTCTCCTGCCAGGTGCTTCGCTTTTGCTTGCGCCTCTCTCGCTTTGGTTCTCTGCCTGTCTCGGTGGTCCTTCTCGGCCCTCGTTCGTGCATCGCCCCCTTCGCCCTGCTCGATCGCCCACTTTTCCCTCCCTTGGCCGCCCTTCGCTGCCAAGTCCGGACTTGTCTATAAATAGCCTGACCCCCGCGATGTGTAGTCGAACCTTAGCGTTCAAAATAGGACTAAATAAAGTGCCTTCTACTTTATTCTCTGAGTGTTCCTCACGTCTCATTTCGAGACAAGTCTTATCTTGAACGGATCTTTGCTTCCCTCGCTCCCTCTCCGAGTCCACTTCGGACTCTACCCTTGCTTTCCCTGAGCTCACTTCGAGCTCACTTCTTCTTTTGCCGTTGAGTCCCCTTTGGACTCTAACAGCAGCTCACCGCCGCCTGCACCCCGTCGACCAAGATGTCGGGACTCTGGGAGGCTCGCGGGTACCAAGGATCCATGGTCATGCTCATGTTCATGGTCCGATGGCGACTCGGTGCTCTCCCAGGTCACTTCAGGTTTGGATACCGCAAGTGCAAGAACCTGGCTCGACACGGATCCGGGATCGACTTGACCAGGACCCACGCACAGCAATGTGTGGATCCGCATCAAGTCCTGGTCCGCAAGGTCGCAGCCCTCAAGACGGCCCACCCGACTTGGGTGGAAAGTGGTATAGCCGGAGTGGGACCAGTGGACAAGCTGCTGGACCTGCTCTCTTTCGATCGCACTCCCCCTCGCACTCGCACCCCTCCCGCACTTGGATCGCTTGCTGCTCATGTACCCGCTCCCCGCACTGCCTTCCGAGCATTCGCACTTGGTGCACACCCAGTACCAGCACCCACTCCCACAACCAGTGTAGTCCCACCCTTGCAGTCTCTCCCTGCACCCTCATCACAGCGTAGTATAGTGCCAGCACTTGTCACTCCACCACCCCGACCTCCCGTCGATCCTGCTATTCCCTTGTGGGAACTGCTTGAAAATGTGTTCACCCGCTTGGTCTCAGACCTTGTGGGCAGCTGAGGCAGCACTAGGCTGCAACAGGAGTAAATAGGCTTGCCTGTGTACTCAACGTGCCGGGGTACCAACCTGTTGGACCTGATGGCTTGTCTTCTTAAATAAAGTTGACTATAGTAACAAAAAAAAAAAAGCATTTCATGTGAGAACTATGTTGACACCATGGGCAAGATGAAGATGTCCAAGGACTTGCACATTGTCGAACTCATTGAGCACCTGCCACTGTTTGAGGGCTGCTCCAGAGCAAACATCGAGTTCCTCGTGTTCACGGGCGAGAGCAAAGCGCTGCGCTATAACCAAGTGGTTGTCGCAGAAGGTGAGTTGGCGCGAGCTCGATGTCAGATCTGCGTTTTCCAAATCCAGGTGTGGCTCGTGAGCGCTTGCATTCCAACGAACGGAACTCGCCCTGTAAGAGTGATTCCAACGTGCCCGAGTCGATGCAGGCGACGCCATCGACTCGATATTTGTCCTCCTCACTGGATCGGTCAAGGTATTCAAGACCATCACCACACTCCAGAGGGGAGCCACTGTCACACTTGCAAACAGTCATCCACAAGCAAACATGCCAAGAATCCGCGAGGATACCACGGTCTACATCACCACCCTCAATTCTGGCGACGTGTTCCCGCACGCTGATCCCGATATGCCCCAGCCAGCAGCAGCATCATACATACTGGCGAGCGGGCCGAGTGCAGAGTGTCTCCAAATTGATCTGGTAGGTGAGATAGTGCATTGGGCATGGATCCGTTGTCGGAGCAATCAGTGACAAACTGCTGCGAGCGACCTTGGGTGGCATCCTCACGAATATGGATGTTGGGTATCATTTAGGCTCGCATTCGAGAGAGCCCTTTGGAATTGAAAACCCGGCTCTCAGAGTATTTCAAGACTTTTTCTTCCCAAGTCAGTAATATCGAGCAAAAGCTGTGCTCCAAGAAAACTTGGGATGTGTACAAGAGGCACATCATCCAAGAAGTGCTTCAGACCCCTGACAAATCTGTCGAACAGCGGAGATCCCCACGGCTGCCGAGCATTGACAGACAGAGCCCTGAGAGACGAGAGAAAATGGAAAACGTCCAGGAGCGAGGCCAGGAGTCAACCACCAGAGTCACCCTTGGTGTCCTGAATCTCTCTCCACGCCCCCCACGACAAGGGAATCCCGGCAGATCTGATGCGGGGCAGCGACGATATCGATCTCAGACCGAGCCTCCAAAGTTGATCTAGTGAACACATATGGAACCGGGACAGTGCGCTTCTCTCTGGCATCAGAAGCCTGAGGCCTGCTGATCGGTAGGCCATGGTGGGCAGCCGAGGGATTGCACTTCTGTCTCTGCTGGCAATCCAGTGGTTTGGTTGCTTTCGGGGGTATCGTCTTGAATACATCCGATCGATCTCCATGGGCGATGATCGACTGGCATACCGAGATCATGTTCCGTGAGGAATTGATGTCTCGATGCGAGAGTGTGGTGGATGCATTGGACTGCCTGAACAGTCCATGGTTCCTCGATATCAAGTGACTCAGGTGACTCGAGTTGTTTGTCTTTAGGCACTGTTTGGTCATGACAGACGATGAGTGGAGTGTATTCAGGGCCCAGAACACAGCGACGACTCTGACTCAAACGCAGGGTGTCCGTTTCGTTTTGGGTACGCTGTATACCCTGGAGAGTGACTGTTTTTCGGAAAAACGAAACCTCAGCTTGAATCTCGGGGGTGCTGAGATAGATTGGCTGTGGAAGGGGAGCGGTCAGTCGAAGATGGGCGATGCGGCAAGTGATTGAGCAGGACTTACCAGGATGACAACTGGATGTGCTGGGAAGAGGTTGCTCATCACGAAGAATACTCCGGATGGAAGAGAAAAGTTAAATCGCGAATCGAAGTAAGCGTGTGGGACCTTGGTGACGTGGTGGTCGTGGCGAATCCACTGTGGTGCGTTGTCGATTTCGGACCACCGGGGAATGTGAGGTGACTTGGATGTGACAATGAAGTTGGAGGGGTCGTCTTCCGAACGAACCCACTCGTCACTATTTTGGACCCACAGGATTTGATTACCGCCATATTGACGAGAGAGGATGGTGTTACCATCTGGCGAGATGGTCACAGAGTCCACACCCCTGGTATGTCCCTCGAGGGTGTGTTTCAGTTGGCCTGTGGTGGCATCCCACACCTTGACGGTGCTGTCATTTGAGCCAGAAACAATCCACTTGCCATCAGACGAGATGGCCACGGAGTTCACACTATCTAGGTGTTCCTTGAGGGTGTACTTCACCTGGCCTGTGGCAGCATCCCACACCCTGATGGTGTTGTCACGAGAGCCGGAGGCAATCCACTTGCCATCGAGTGAGATCGCGACGGCATGCACACTGCCGTTGTGTCCAATAATTGTCATCACACAGGTGTCCCAGGTCGGTGCTGGACCGCAAGTGACCAGGAACGGGATCTTGTCCTCGAGTTGGTCAGCATATGTCTTGTAGATCGCCGTCTCCTTCGGTGTGAATGCATACCCCGAGTTGTACACCTGTGGTGCACTCTTGATGATCGGATCGGCAAACTCGCGGATGAATCGATACGTGTCCTTGACCAGTTCCTTCGTGGTGTCGTCGACGATGGTGCTGGGTGCCTTGGCGACCACTCCTCGCAGCACAGCCAGTTGCTCGATGATCGGCTTGACCACATGTGTGAGCGACCCGCACTCGAGCCAGAAGAACACATGCGTCTTGACGAACCGAGTGAGCACCGCTGCCACATCGACCATCTTGGCCGACTGCCACACCGGACTCGACTCGGCCACTCCTTCCACACACCACACAAAGTGTGTGATCCAGTGGGCGACACTGTATCGCAGCGACGGCGTGATCGTGGCTGCGACCCTGTCCTCGAGGTCGGCGATATTGTCGTGAAACTCGAAGATATCGCAGATGTTGATCACTGGCTCGTGCGAGAGGATCACTCCGAGACATCCCTTGGCAAACACCGTGTGGAACGAGTCCGACACATGCCACGGATGGCCAGTCGATGCGTCACCGAGGAGATAGTCTGCCACCGACTTGTGGTTGAACTTGACCTCGGTGTTGGTGGACTGGCTGCCTCGGGGATCCAGTCCATTGGCGCCAGGATCGAGGACCAGGCTGAGGCTCTTGAGACACTCGCGAACGACGCCGATCTCGAGTCCAAACACATCGGCGATGATCTGTGGGGTCAGGATCGACTGGGCCGTGGCGATTGCCGACACCACCGTGACCAGCTCGGCCGGATGGCTCGACTGCGAGTGGATCTTGGCGAATGTCTTGTGGTACAGTCCCTTGAGATCTACCGACGAGTCGTTGATTTCTCGGATCATCTCGAGGGTCAGTGTCCGTGGCTCGTGTGCTGCGTCGCTCTCCTCACACGGCGTCGATCCTGGCTCGGGAGTCTCCAGCTCGTGCTCGACGGTGTTGAGGATCAGGTTGATCCACACGAATGTCTTGGACTGGTCCAGCAGCACCGAGATCGCCTGGGTGCGGTCCGACTCGCTGAGGCTGGGATGGTCCCTGAGACGATGGTCGATGAACACCCGGAGGTCGCGGATGTTGTCCTCGCTCGACGGCTCGATCGTCGTGGTCGGCACTCCTCGGAAGGCATCCCTGATGTCGGCCTCGGGGCGGGACGTCAGCAGCAGCTTGATCCGGGACTCGTCCTTCAGCTGCGTGAGTCGCCAGGCCAGGAGCGACAGGATCTCGTCGCGCGGATGGCACTCGTCCAGGCCATCGACCATCACCACGACGGCTCCCTTGGGCCGGTACTGGCCAAGAGCCTCGAGTGGATCCTCAATCAAGGCCTTGAACAGGTCCGGGATGCTCATCTTGTCGAGGTCGTCCTTGGTGTGGCCAGCGTCGAGGAACCGACGGCCGATCGGTGCGTACCAGCGACACAGTCCATATGCGATCGTGGTCAGCAGGATGCGGGGGTTGTTCTTGCGGGTGTCGTTGTACTTGAGGAACAGCGATGTCGCCAGCTGGTCCCGATCAAGCAGGATGTTGGCGATCTGGGCGGCAGCGACGGACTTGCCGACACCGGCGACGGCATTGACCCACAGGACCCGGTCGGCGTTGTCGTCGTCGTCGACCCAGGCAGTGACATGGTCAAACAGCCACTGGCGGGTGCCCTCGACATACAGATCCTCGAGCGCCTTCCTGTCGGGGTCAAAGTCGATGGGATCGAGCAGGACGCGGAGCTGCGAGTCTTCGTCGGCAGCGAGGACGATGGGTCGGCTCTGGTGGTAGAGGATGCCCTCGGCGATGGCCCTCTCGGTCTTGGCCACAAGCACTCGGATGTACGGAGAGAGCCTGAGTTTGGTGGCGGGGGATGGACGAGTGCGAAAGGGAATGGGGTCAGTTGGATGTGGTCAGATGGATGTGCAGCAAGGTGAGGCGATGTGTATGGTGTCGTGTGGTGTTGTGAGAGGAGTCTGATGCAGCATGGTGCGCATGGCATTGATGGTGTGCATGGCATTGATGGTGTGCATGGCATTGATGGTGTGCATGGTGTGCAGGATGTTGCGATCACGCATGACAGCAATGCAGCAGAGATTGCTCGCCATCGATGGGATGACAGCAGCCACCCACCTCATCACCGCCGTCCCATCGGCGGCATTGAACTGCTGGAGAGCCAGGACATCTCGGATGGTCTGGCGGATCGATACGGGCTTGCCGTCGACGAGGGGACTCAGATCGTGGCAGGGCGGCTCGTCGGGAAAGTCGTCGGGGTTGGGGAAGTACTTGGAAGCATAGGTCTGGTTGTTGATGATGCGGGTCGACCACATGCAGACAGGCTGGACGGTCACCGGGCGGCCGGTGGTGGCCGACTCTCGCATCCGACGCAGGGCATGCTGGACCTGAGTGTGAGTGTGAGTGTGAGTGTGAGTGTGAGTGTGAGTGTGAGTGTGAGTGTGAGTGTGAGTGTGAGTGTGAGTGTGAGTGTGAGTGTGAGTGTGAGTGTGGGGACTATTGAGTGCAAGTGCATCGACATGGAGGCTCGGCCAACCGCTCGCTTGCTCACCTCCAGGAACTGGTTGTCTGGCTTGAGGTGTGCCTCGCGGGTGCGGCTCAGTCCCCGCTCCGACAGAACCAGCACAATGACCTGCGAGTTGACCAGGCCGTTGATGAAGCCCGTCTCCCAGTTCATGGCATCGACGAGACACAGCTGGTCGAGGTACGGACACAGGTTCTTGTCGTATTGGCTGGACGACTTGAGGGCGGCGTAGAGCTTGATTGCGGGCATCTCGTCGCTGAAGACTCGATAGCTGGGCAAAGAGGCGATGGTCAGTGGGCACTCTGGATGTCGATGTTGCCAGTGCAGACATGGACATGGATTGATGATCCAACCGGCTGGAGTGCAGACACCCCACACTGCACCACAGGCATCGCCGCACCTGATGAACACCTCGTGGTCCCTGTTGCCCAGCTGGCACTTCCATCCCCTCGTCAGCGGAGGCGGTCTGTATCGGACCACAGGGAGAACAGCATTCTCGCTGCCATCGGGTGTCTTGGATGGCGGTGGCTCGCTCTTGTGGACGGCAACAGGCGGCTCGGTGTTCTGGCGCTGGGCTCGCTGGATCTTCTTGATGGCGCCGAGCTTGAGCCCGATCTGCTTCATCTCTGGCTCGGTCAGAGAGAGGACCTGGACAGGCAACCGTTGTTCAGCAACAATGTCTGGATGGCCAGGGGCATCGACGGCCGCAGTGTCGGCGACATTCCATCGCCAGCACGGACATCGCCAACCATCGAGTGCATCATGCCATCGGCGACAGAGTCAAGCAACCCACCAGGTCGGTGCTGTCGATCTCGTGGTCGACCAGGAGGGTCTTGTTCCTGGCGAGATCGTGCTTGTCCAGGAAGGCATCAAAGTCTGGCACAAGGGTCAGCAGCAGACATTGCCGTCACCCGCCATCGGTGATGCATCATCAACAGAGGCTCACCTGTGGCCGCAGACATGGCGCACTGGCTGTTGAATGGGATGGATGGATGGAGCGAGAGGAGGGGCGACTGCCAAGGAATAGAATGTGGAGGACAAGCCCAAACACCGCCCCTCCCCTCAAGTGGTGCTCAATTCAAGGAGACGACCATGTCCCAGAAAAAAACGAGCAACACGCCCGCTTCTATGGCATCAGAGGCATGCAGCCTGGGCTCGTTTGAACATGTCGCCTGATTTATTTGATCGCCCGTAATGCGGGGATCCGACTAATCCTGTTTCGACTGGTATTCTCATATCCCTTCCAGGTGACCAGGTCGTCGTGGTGGATTGATGATGCGAGCCATCCTCGTTCGCCCCAATGCCCGGCCCTCTCGGCCAGCGGCAACTCGACCGGGCCATGATGCTTTTCTCAGCCGAATTTTGGAGGATATTCCCACCTTGCGCTTTCCAGCATTGATTCGCCGAGACAGGAAGCCCTTGCCAATCACAGCGCGCCGAAATCCGATGTCGAGTGACGTCGTCATATTCAAATCGGGCCTGGAATCGCCCTCCACCTGAGCGACTCCTTCGGGCAACTTGAGCAAGCAGGATTTGCAAATTCACACTCCTCATATCGCTATCGGAGACCGCACACATCCTTCGGTCATTGATTTGCACCATGGATTATGATGTGAGCGTGAGCCAAGGTTATCTTGGAAGCAATCCATCCAAAATCCATCCCAAAATCCATCCCAAAATCCGGTTCCTGAAACCCAGTTCGGGGCACCAAGCCGGACTGCCCTTTTCAATGAACGACCCCGAGGATCGTCACTCGGCAAGCCACGACACTTCGGCACGGCTATTGCTATCGAGCCGAGTTGGAAGAAGCAGGGTACAGGCAGCTGTCCTCCGTCCCGAAGCACAAGCTCGAACAAGATGGACAAGCCGCTTCTGAAGTCCGAGAAGTTGGGAAGTTGTGGTGCTGTTTCAGGTGGAAGACAAAGTCGTCGGTCATCCAATTCAGAAAACCTCTGCCGCGAGCATCCAGCTGTTGCTCTGGTCAGGAAAATCGCAGCCAGCATCATGAACTCGTCCACCTTCAAGAAAACGATCAAGTTCCTGTCGAACGAGGTGACGCAGATCATGGCATGGCTGGCGGTTGCGGTTGTTGCGCACACGCTCGTGATGGGAATCTTATCATTGCGCTCTACACCGTCATGCCCGGGATCTGGGTCTACAACTTTCTCCAGCTGTTTGTGATTGCCTGTGCCCTGCTCGCCCACCACGCCAGCACCCGCATCTCCGACATCATCCGGCTCTCGATCACTGCAAGTGAACTTGTCCGCGGCAAAATCACGCTCGCCGAAACGGCCGACTTTTGGGTCAAGGGAACGAAGAGCCCTGGCTACAGCATCATCCAGATCAGCAACGTTATCGAAGTTGTCTCGGAGCTGATCCTGATTGGATGCAGTATCTCGTTCGTGTGGGACGCCACCGAGACCTTCCTGCTCCAGGGAACATGCAATCCGCCAAACTATATCGGCTCGGTTCTGTCGCCCAACATTGCCATCCAGCAGTTCATCCAGGGCGACGCCGACTTTGCGACCATCTACAACTACGGACTGCCGCTGTCGGACGGCATCATCGGCGCCTGGGCCGGCTGGCCAATGAACAATCCGATGGACTCGTTCACGATCGAAGGCCAGGGACCAGTCTACATCATCCAGGCCGAGTGCGACGACGGACAGCCGCAGCCCTCGATCAACACCAACGGCGCCTCCAACATCGTCAGCTCGGTCCTCTCGTCCAACGGCCGCGAATTCATGCTCGAGATGAGCGTCACGCTCCCGGCAGGAAGTGTCTTTGACGACATTGCCCAGACCGTCGTCAACTCGACCTTCCAGCAAGAGTGCGTTGTGTTTGTCCAGGTCGGAGTCGGAGTCATCCAGTACAGCTTTGTGTCGGACCAGTGGTCGGCAGTAACGGGCGGTCGACTGGTGGCAGCATCGAGTCCCTCGAGGTCGTTCTCGGTGGCCTATCCGACATCGCCGTCGAGCTTTGCCCGGACGGCCCAGCTGGCCTTCCGCGAGACCACCGACAGCTACGGAGTGCTGCCGCTGATCCGCCAGAGCGTCTTCCAGTCGGTCCTCAACGCCAGCTACTACCCATCCCAAGGCGCCACCTTCTGCAACTACCTCTCGTGGGCAACCTATCCCGACGGATACTACCACACCGAGGCCATGTATCGGGGCCTGGCAGCTGGGATCGGGTCGTCGGCGCACTATGCCATCATGCAGTACAATCCGTCGCTGACGGTCGACTGCTAACTACTACGGGTTTGCCGGAGCCGGAATGCTCTCGATTCCACCGCTCCCGATCATCATCGCAGCGATCGGCTCGGCAACAGCGATCTTGAGCAAGATTGCCGAGATCATCTACTGGGCGACGATGCGGGCGACCAAGAAGACGCCTGGATTCACGGAGGCCCGCCGAGCGCTCCAGCATCCGATGCGATTTGCTCTTGATACCGCCCACACTCTGTCTCGGTTCCAGACATCCAGTCCCGACGACTACTGCAACGTCACGACACGCAAATCGGTCCGGGCCATCGGCAACCGGATAGTGCGGTACGGCGAGGACATCAATACGTGCGAGAACGAGATCGGGCACCTCCAGATCGGCGAGGCCGGGTTCATCTCGACGGTCAAGGAGGACAAAATGTACGGCAGCTTCACGCCAACGTAGCATGTCGAGTGGGACACTCGCTTTGAGGCAGGATTGATGTGTATTTCTGGAAACTGAATACACACTCGCTCATCGTTCGTGATGACCAAACGCAGCATTCTCGATTTCCATGCCGCTGCGCTGCGATGCTGCTCGCTGCTCCGTAGCCTGCACAGATTGTCTCCAGGAGCACTACACATCGCTCAGGGAGTTTGACCAATGAGCTTTGAGAGACCCAGCCTCCACAACCAGGACATGAGCATGGGCATCTAGAGGTTGAAGATCTTGACCGATTCGGGCAGTCCAACGAATTGGCATGGACTGTGCCCATGTATCAAAAGCTGCTCCAGGTGTGGCATCGGAAGAAATTGGACAAACGTATCCGCTGGCCCACTGATGGACACATGAAGGGTCCTGATGGTTGCGAATGCGGCCGAGAGCATTTGGAGACCACTGAACGACGACGGAATCCACAACTCTGTCACCGATGCTGAAACCAGAGCGCCTGAGCAATGAGTATCGAAATCATTCAGGGAAGGGCCTGACTGGGGCAGTTTGAGTAGCTTGAGCTCGGGCATGACAGGCAGCCACCGGAGCGACTCCAAGCGACTGCAGCCCCACATATTCATTTCCACGAGGCGATCCAATTGCGCTGGCAATCCTTGCAATGAGAGAATAGATGGGGGAAGGACGAGTATTTTCAAACTTGGAAGGAGGGGCAGTCCCACCAGTGAAGCAATTTGGGCGTGATGGCCCAAATCAAGCGACTGCAAACGACAGAGGCTCTGAGGGATGCATTCGAGACTTTTGAGAAATAGGGGCAGCATCAACTTTTCCAGCTGGGGCATTTGGGGCATTCCCTCCAGGCTGTCAATCTCGCCTTCTGGAAGCTTGCCATTGAGCTGCAGATCAGAGAGAAAAGGGAAAGCGACCGGCCAGCCAGAGACAGACGAGAAACTGCAGTTCACAAGACGAAGGGTCCGAAGGGGCCGATTTTGGATAGTGTCGAGTTCGTGAGGGAGCAGTTGAGACCACTGCTCGGCAGTGTGGAAGGGGTGGTGATCAAATCGGATGACCGAGTACCCAAACCGTCCGTGAGGCATTCCGCTGCAGCTTCGACAGTGTCCACGCTGGATGATTCGAGCACTGTCAACGATGTGGAACTGCTCCTGCGGGTCGAGTGTTCGAACCATGTCCTGTGAAGAGTTTGATGTGCAGGCGTGACAGTCGACGTTGGCTTGGATCAGCCCGGCCGACAGCAGACGCCTGGTATTGGCTTCGAGAGAGGGACAGCGACAGATTGCCCACCAGAGTGGCATCTCTTTCTGGTAGGCTTCAAAGCTGCGAGGGCAGCCATCCTTGCGACTGCAGAAGGAACACATGCCCTCGAGGACCTGTCTGCGATCGATGGACACGTCAACTCCGGTGAATATGGCTGCTGTGATTTTGAGTTTGCGATAGAGCTGGTGCATCCACGCCCTGTTCGAAACGAGAGACAAGACGCCTCTGTACTGACGAGCGAGCTGAGGAAGTTTGGTGAGGGTTGCCAGGTCGAGGGTAGCGAGGAAGGCGTCGTTGCAAACCAGGACAGGGAGAAAGTCGAAATTGGAAAGGGACGCAGATGGGGAGCTAACTGGAAGCATATCGGCCACCAAGGAGTTGGGGCATTCCTGGCTGACGGGTCGCTGGGGCGCCATTCTGAATGTGAGCAGGAGGAGAGCGAGGAGAAGTGGCAGATGGCTGGAGGAAGGCGACAGGGCCAGAGCCAGGACCACGCCTTGGCATCAGGCCAACCACGGCGATTGGGTCGTGGCCACGTGAATGGGTCTGGGGCTTGTGTCCTGGTTGTTCTCCCAAGTCCCTGAGCAAAGGGCTTGGCCCATTCACATTGCTCTCTCTGGCTGCCATAGACGACTTTTGGTCGTTGAGATGGGTATCTTGAAGACCGCGAGTACCCAATCGAGAGCAGCTGTTCCTCGCAAACGCAAGTTGGCCAAGGACGATGGACTTGCAAGTAGCCAAGCACTGGGTGCCATTGTGGACTGGCCCAGTGATCCGAATTTGGTTTGAATCAGAGGGCCAGAGCACACCTTTCTTCGGCCCATTCATCCACTTCGCCAAAAATCTTGAGCCCACTTGATCGTTTGCCTCCATCAGAGCCAAGTGGCGAACGTGTACGGGGACGTTTCTCCGCCTCTGTCACCATACCCGGCGAGTCAAAGTGATGGAGATTGACAGGAGTCAATGGAATCAAGTTCTTCGTCTGGACGGAAACAATCCGGAACGACCGTTCGCGAAGGAAATGGCAGTGCTGTATTCAAACACAGTCCGTGCATCCTTGGTTGTCATCCGAGATCATCTGTGAGTACCTGCTATTCCTGCACTTCGTTCATCACCCACTAGAACACGCCGATTCGCTGATCTCGATTGACAACACAGGACCAGGTGAGACACCGAGTTCTTCGCGAGGCTGAAAGAGGAAGCTTTGAAACTGAAGACAACTGCCTCGACCTTGGGATTCACCCGAATGGCAACACTCTGCATGATGCTGGAGAAACTGAGTGAGCTGAAGGACCCAGACAACACAACAGTCGCGTGCATTGGGAGCGCTGAAGCTGTTAGAAAGTCATGGCTCACGCTCACAGAGATGGTTAGGGAGTTTCGCCAGAACCAAGCGTTCCTCCAGGAGTCTCTCGCTATTCTCCTGGAGCCACTTTCGTCAAGGGATGCAATGCTCTCAAAATGAAGTTGGCACCCTATTTTTGATGTCCCTGCGAGCCTTGAAAACACACACAGCCGCCATCCATAGCAGAGACCACCCGGTCCACAGGGTAACTGAGACGTGTGCATGCTTACTGCAAAGCGAAGCGAGACTCCTCTCTGGAGACTGAAGCGATTGCAAAGATCACTTCCTTCCTCGACTTCGACGGACAGCATGGACACCTTGCTGGGCAAGGGCTTTGAAAGTGGACGTGGGCTCTGCAGGTACAATTTGGGCAGTCGATTCGACGCCTGTCAGCGATGCATGGGTGAACGGTCGCATCCCGAATCTCCCAAACATCAACCCAGCGGCGATGCATAATGTCCTCGATGCTATGCAGAGTTTTACCACAGGGTACGTACCTGACATTGCTGGAAAGTTCTTCCATCCGTAGGACACAAACGACTCGGATTGGATGGTGGCCAAGGCAGGGCAGCTTGAACAGGCCGAGTTGAGAGAAGGTCAGTTCGTGGATTTGCTGGCCAGAGCGCTCGAGGTCGTGGTGCGACTGCCTCACCAAGGATCGCCCAAGTCGGCCAAGGTGAACTTGAGCCTGTATGTTCCTTCGACTCGAATGAACAGCTTGGAGAACACAAAGAAGACGCCGGTCATGGAGTTTTGGGCACTCTTGGAGAAAACAGCCGAGGAAACCAAGTTCCCGAAGAGCGAGGGTTGGGCGGCTGGAAACAGCATCCTCGCGACTTGGTCGCTGTCGCTCAAACCCTGAAGCCAGTCGGGACTGCCTGCATCAGGGCTGCAGCTCTGGCAGCCTTGGAAGATGGTGGGTCAGTTCCAACGCTCGTGGTGCATCTGGGGATGATGGCGACGTCATGACTGGCGACTTACCATTGGCTGCTGCGACAGGCGCCATGCTTGGCGAACCAATGACGTTCTCTGTCTGGAGCGAGTCTGTGTCCGGGGATGGGGTATGAGCGACCCGATGATGGAGTGCCAGGGAAGTCGAGGGGCGAGGAACAGCTTCCTTGAGCCGGGCCGGGTTGACGACAAGGCTTCGATCCTCCATGCCATCAGCAGCATAGAGCTGGACATGGATCACAAAGAGCGACGCTTCCGTCATCAACGAGGGACTAGCACGTCCCGACACTCAGGTCAGTAGACAGACGACACAGCCCGTCGCCCCGTTCTCGCATGAACGACGCTTCACTCAAGACATCCGGGATACTTGCTCAGAAATCAACTCTCCATCAGCACCCCGCCGAAAGAGTTGTAGGACCGGGGCTGGATCGATTGGCCGCCCATGAAGCTGATGGCCAAACCCAGAGGAACGAACTCTCTCGGGCTGGTCTACAATCTTCAGAAAAAACGGGTGCTTGCTGGGCTGGTGGAGACAACAGAGAGGATAAGCCAAGGTTTTCGACCCTGTGTGGTCAGGTTGATGGCAGGCAAAGCATCCGCTTGAGCCGGTGATGCCCTCGAGGTCCCAGACACGTCATCTCAACGTTGTTTTGGAGCCGAGTGACTGGATCAGCAGCGACCAACGATGACAACAAACGACTCAACCTTGTTCGTACCATGGTGTCGAAGCCTCCAGAAGGATTGAGCATCGAAAGAGTTGATGTTTGCTGGCCGCCGCTCGGTCGTGGGGCTTTATCGCCAAGCCGGGCAAGCCCCCCTTTACCCAGACTATTTCACCCCTCACGGCTATTGGTCACGAGCGGAGAGTTCCAACATTGTCCTCCGCTTGGCTCCCCGACAGCGAGCCGCTGCGAACGACCATTGTTTCTGATCCAAGCGCACTGTACCAACCATCCTCCGGTGGATCGTGCAGGCCCAGCACTGTGAACCAGCCAAGCTGCGTCAGCAACGGCGAGTGACGAATCCGGGAGCTGTGACCGTGACCCAACTTGACCAAAGGATTCACATAACGCAGCCGGTTGCCTCTGGTTGCCCTGCGGGGCTGAGTTCCATTGGAGGGAGTGATCGACAAACGCCACTGTTTCTCCCTCGCCTCCGCACACCAACGGCTCGAGCCTGGACCACATGCACGAACGGCCCACAGTGCCTGCCAAGATATAACTCTCAGAGCGATGATGGCGGCTACCCATCAACTTCTCCAGCGCCATGCCTCGTGAGGTCATCCAGATTCACAGTCCTTTACCAACCCGGCCCCGATCCTGTTGCTCCTTGGCTGAAGCGGAGGAACAAGATGATCGCTGCGGCAATAAGGCCAGCGACGAACAGGCTGACGATGAAATACTCGAAGAAATTGATCGCACAATCTCCCAACAGCTCTGCTTGACGGATGCCCTGGAGCTGATTCGCACCACAAAGTCGCCGACTGAATTCGATACCCTCGAGCTCCGGACAGCCTACAACACGATCATCAACAGCGAGGTGGCATCGGCGCTGCCAGCTGGCCCAACGAGACAGGATCAGGCCATGTCCCCTTCTCCCTCAGGCGAACAAACAGGAACGCCTCTCTCGCCCGCCGCTGACCACCCAAGCCACGCTACCAATTTCCACCAGCTGTCGTTCGAGGGCGAGAGCATCCACGATCACGATCGCAGGTGGTCCCAGATCAGGCCCTCCCAATCTCGGATTGGCTTGCTTGGAGTGCAAGCCATGGACAATTTGCGCCACCATTTCACCAAGCCAGAATCGCATCCAGCACAAGGTGAGTCGCAAGGAGGGAAAGTCCTGTCTTGGCCTGGTGAGGGTTTGAACGAGGCGCTCTTTGGTGGCAGGAAGATCCGTCGTTTGGGTGGGATCACGTGAATGGGTCTGTTGCCTCTTCCAACATGCCCCGCCGCATTTTCGAGACGAGCCGCTGGGCTCTGGCCCACCAGCCCTCGGCGGAAGTGGGAAATCCCAGGCAAGAGCGGAAAAAGCATCACCAGGTACCACCGCATCACATCCGTGATATGAGTGAGCCAGCAAGGGCCTGTACTGACTGACTGAGCCCGATTCGCAGCATGAACATCAACGATCTTCTGAACCCATGCCAGTCTGCTTGTCGCCCTGATTCGTCCGGAGAGTCGGCCCACACAGAGTCTCGAGCTCATCGGCGAACGAAGCGAACACCCAATGTTTGCCATCACTGCAACATCATTTTCAAACACAGGCAGGAACTCACTCGCCACACACGCTCACTCCACACCGACGAACGACCATGGATCTGCCCTGGATGCCACAAGGGCTTCGCTCGCGCTGACGCTCTCAAGGGTCATCTGTCCAGAATGATTGCACAGATCAAAGGCTGCTCCTCAAAGCGAGCGTGGTGATCAATACATTCAGGAGCATGTTTCATCAGCCTGATCAGTCATTCACACAGGAGGCTTGGATGCGTCAACAGGGCTCGCGAGGTGTGGGTACATTCCAAGATTGATTCGGGCAACCCCGTTCTCGTGCTCGGCTGCGATGGTAAGCCAATGTAGGGCCAAACTGTGGTTTTGCTGAACCCCGAATCCATGGAAAAAGCAGCATCCGAGGTTGTTTTGGGCATGGATGTGGCCCTGGAGGGCGGCTTTGGTGTACCACTCCACAGCCTTGCCAGGATCGACGGGGGTTCCGAACCCAAAATGGTGATAGACGCCAAGTCTGGCCTGTGTATCGCACAGGCCCTGGTTGCCAGCCATGGTGAACCACTGGAATGCCTTGATCGGATCCTGATCGACACCAAGACCTTTTTCGTAGCAAAGCCCGATGCGATCCTGAGCCAAGGCATCCCCTTTGGCGGCGGCCATGTTGAAGAGATGGAATGCTTTGACGTGATCTTGGGTCACTCCAGTTCCTTCGCTGTGGCAGCGAGCAAGCTTGAACCGGGCTCGCGGGTTTCCTTGTTCTGCAGCCTTCTGGTACCATTTGGCTGCCTCGCTGAGGTCCTTGGATACCCCCTTTCCTTCAAAGTAACAATCGGCGAGACAGCACTGAGCCATCGCATGTCCCTGTTGCGCGGCCAGTGTGAACCACTCGACCGCCTTTGCGAAATCTCGGGGAGTTCCTCTGCCATTGAAGTAGCGCGATCCAATGGTGAAGAAGGTGTCCACACCTCCACATCTGCGAACCGCTTTCGCACAGACTCGCTCCAGACCAGCACAGTCTTCTTGATCTGCTTGATCCGAGGATTTTGTCGTCTTGGGTCGCTTCCCTTGATCACGCGGATGAGGAGAGGCAGGGCGTTTGAGCGTTGGATTCATTTTTTGGACAAATACCAGGGTCTGATCGATGGTGGGTTGGGAGGGTATGGTCTGCCAGCCAGACTTGAGAATCATCCGCCTGGTGGTTCTGAACAGTCACAAGTTTGGCATGTGTGCGCAGCGACATTGGCCAATGGACAGCCAAAGGAACCCCTGATGCTTTCACCTGATCTCGATTTTTCGGGAATCTTGAGAGAGCGAGACGTGATAGTAAACCTCACACTACCCCCAACGACCGCCCCCTCCCCGAGAGGGACTGGTCCTAGACCCCCCCCCATTCAACCAGCTCGCCGAAGAGCCATGCCAGCGGCGACTCCTGCGGTGCCCCAACCCCCCGGAGGCGCAGTCCCTATAGAGGGCCAGCTCGCCATCTTTCTGCCCCCTGACCTCGAAACCCTCACCGACAAGGCCCTCAAACAGGCCTGCAAGGAACGAGGCCTCGCATTCAACGGGTCGAAGAAAGACCGGGAGAACCGCCTCAACCAATTGAGGCTGAGCCAAGGGCCGATCCGGCCCAAGATCACACCGCTCCTGAAGTGGCTGACCAGCCCCCAGCCGAAGACGAAACCGCCGACTTCGAAGACATGGCCGAGCATCCCGGCCTTGAACAGACCGTCGCCCGTCCATCCGCCCTGACCACTCCAACCCTCGTAGAGAGAAGGCGTGAAGCGGCTAGGGACCGAAGTGGGCTGTCCATTCGAAACAGCCTCAACTACCTTGCTGCCGAGATCTTGGCGGAATCTCGAGAATCCCCCCGCGATCAGGCCAAGACCGCGAGGGAGCTCTTCAACGCAGCATGGCGACTGGCCAGCACCGTTGGCGAACTTAGATATGCCGCTCAACACATCCCGGTTGAGAAGATGTCCCCCGAGCTCTGGAGGACAGTGTTCCCCGAGCTCCAGCACACTGTGGAATGCCAAGTGTGCAAGTCCAACGCCACCTCGACCTGGACGCCCATCAAGAATGGCCAAGAGGTCCAGCTTCGGTGCCCCAACGTCCTCGACGGCACTCCCTGCCGCGGACAGATGCCAGCCCTGGTGTTCTGGGGCAGAATGACCCGCTCATCCAACCAAGATAGAGCGAGATACCTCGTGGCAGCCGAGTCGGTTCTAGGATCGAAAAAAGCCACCTTCTACCAACGCTGTGGCCTCAAGATCCAAGAGCATACACAGGCGAGGATCGAAGCCCAGCACAGACCAGCAGCTATCAACGGGATAGGGAAGATCTCCTATGCCCAGGCGGTGGCGGGCAAGGCAAACAACGCCGAGCCAGCCGCTCGGCGAGACGAGGATGCACGCCCAGACCCCCCAGAAAAGCTGGCCAAGCAAAACCACATCGCCCTCCTGGAGAACCTCATGGGCAAGTTCGTGGCCCAGCTCCAAAACGCCCTGAATGTGGCCCTGGCCGAGAAGCACAACCCTCCCACGGCAGAAGAAACCAGACACACGGAGGGTGCGCTCAACGCCCTCATCAAAGAAGGACTGGAGCTCTCGAACTCGAGCAAAGTCATCTTCAAGGCGGCCCGAGAGCAACAACGGGAGGCTGAGAAAACCAGAGAGAAAGCCTCCACTCCCCCTTCCCGCACATCACAGGACACCAAGCCTAAGCCGATGGGACATGTACCCGCGGCCAAACCAAAGCCGCAAGAAATTGCCACACGCATCGCCCTGCAGCCCCAGATCAAGCAGCCAAAGCTGTGGATAGGCATGCTCCAAGGTGCGCGCCAGAAAACGAGACCCGCGGCCATCAGTGGTAGCATCGAGAATGCTGACCTCGAAAGCCCAATGCTGAGAGATAAGTTCTCAAGAACCAAACGGTTGTACTTCAAGGGAATCCAGGCCATGAGCCTGAAGCTCATCCGAACGGCCCTCAAGGGATGCGGCATCGACGACAGAAAGATCGCCGACATCTCATTCCACGGGCGAGACATTATCGATCTCCTCCTCTGGGACAGCCGAGACGCAGACGCAATCATCAAGTCCCTCTGCAAACCCCCAGGACGACGGCCGGTGGTGACCCACCTCCCGAACTTCAACCCTGCAGCTCCACCGGTCAAAATGACATCGCCCCAAGACAAGCGCAACCATATGCGCAGGTTCCTGTATGCCTCGGTGACCCAAGCAGCCCGTGCACGCGGAATGACGGTCGTCCGAGACATCCAGATGCGAGTGCCCAGAGAACATCGGCCCGAGTTCGATCGGCTTCTGGCGCTGGTCCGACGAGGACTGACGATCGACAAGGACAGCGTCAGGGTCGACCCACGGGAATACCCCGTGGCGGAGAACATCCGCAACAGCCCCCGCCAGCGCGAAGAAGCACAGACCACCCCAAGCCAACGAGCTATAGAAGTGGAAGCGGAGCCTGAGACGCAGCAACAGACAGACCTACCGGCCGAGACGGTACCCGAAGCGCTTCGGAGCTCGTCAGACCTGGTCGAGGGGGTGATCGAAAGGTCATACCAGATTCATACTGAGACCGAAGCGGCGGGGGCCGCAGAGCGATTATGAATCAGCCCCACGACGAAGGAGACGCTGAGGTCAAGACCAACCTCACCGTCGCATCCTTTAACGTAAATGGTCAAAGCACCGAGGATGGTGTCTCCACGGAGCACACCATCCGAGAGATCCTGAAGAACGAAGGAGTAGACTTCATCGCAATTCAGGAAACGAAACTGGCACCGGAAGCGCGGAACCCCTTGGCCAAGGTCACAGCCCATGAGGCCCGTCGAACAGACAGCCTGGGCGGTGGACTGGCGCTGGTGTTCAACCCCGAGACAATCGATCCCGACGACCTGAACATCGAAGAGACCGACGAGGGAAAGCTGTACACGTGGACCAGGTACGGCACCAGAACATACATCGGAAACTTTTATATCCCCCACCCGGTGAAGACCGAAGAGTTTGCGCAAGCGGTACAGTCGATTGAAAAGTATGCGCGGATGCCCAATGCCCAAGTCATCGTGATGGGAGACTTCAACCTGTCGCTGAGCGACCTCAACGGCGGAAGGGTGATCAACAGAGCCAAGAAGACCGCCCTCACGACCACCCTGCGGAGAGCCAGGATGAAAATCATCCCACCGGCAGCGATCCCGACCCCAACTCGGATCCGGGGTAACCGAAGATCGACCATCGACTATATCTTTGTGTCGGAAGCGGAAGCCAACAACGACCCGCTCCTCAAGGTGGACATGGAGGGACAATACCTCATATCCGACCACCGCCTGATCTGGACCACTGTGAAACTCACGAGGAGTGTGTACCCAAAAGCCGACAACTGGCAGTGGAACCTCAGACTCCTCGAGAACCCGGAGGTCTGGGAAACGTACAAGTGCGCCATTGAGCGAGTCAGCGGCCTAGTCTTAAACGAGATAGAGAGGCTCCTCCAGCCCATCCACGACGGCACCGAGATACCCATCAGCCAGGCAGACGCACAGCTGGCCATGGACCAAGCATGGGAAGTCATCAAGAATGCAATCAACACGGTGGCAGATAGCGTCCTGGGCAAAACACAGGTCAAATTGATCTGGAAGACCCCGGAGCTCACCGTCGAGATCCGTCATCTGACCAAGGAGAGGAAGAAGCTCCAGAAGCAGCTCAAGAGGCACCACACGGACCCTGTCATGAAGGAGAACCTTCGAGACAAAATCAGGGTGGTCAGACGAAACCTCAACCGGGCCATCCGAAAGTGCCGAAAAGCGAGCAACGAGAAACTGGCCGAGAAAATCAACCGCATGAACAGCACTGAGCTTTCCAAGACGCTCGGGGCCATGCAGAAGCGAAAGGCCCGGGAAGGTGCCCACCGATTCGACAACTCTGACGAAGCGCTGGAGAGACTCGTCTGCCACTTCGGCAGAGTCTCGGCGGACTCAACGGCCACGGCGAACGGGTTCGATCGAACACTCGAGCCCCCTACACCGAGCCAAGAGCGTAGACGACTCCCCCCCAGCTACGAGCTCCCCATAATCAGCCCACGGGCAATCAAGGAGGCGATCATTACAACACCACGAAGGAAGGCCCCAGGGTCGGACAGGATCAAGATCGAACTGCTCCAGCCCAACGCACATAGAGTCTCGATATGGCTCTACTTCCTCATGGGAGCAGCCATCAAGGCGTCCGTGGTCCCAACTGAGTGGAGTACAGTGCTGATCCATCCCGTCTACAAGAACAAGGGATCGCCCCTCGACCCCGCAATGTACAGGCCGATTGGACTGACCCAGGTCTGCCGAAAGGTTGTCGAGCGAGCACTGCTGCCGTTGCTCAACCGAAAGCTCGGACTGATGGACATTGCCCAAGGTGGATTCCGGGCCGAGCGAGGCACCCTCGACCAGATCTTTGGCCTGGACACGCTCATCAAGGACCGCCAGCTGGCGGGCGAGGAGTACTCCCTGGTGTTCCTCGACATCAAGGCGGCCTACGACACTGTCTGGAGGGAGAAGCTCTGGGACAAGATTGAAGAGCGCACCCCATGTACGATCACCCTCAGGCTCTTGAAGGCCATGTTCGACGATGTGAAGATTCAAGTCGTTAGCAAGAGCCGTCGGTCCAATCCGGTCTGGCTGCAGAAGGGTCTGATCCAAGGATCGGTGCTGAGCCCGCTGATGTTCAGCGTGTTCATCGACGACCTCCCTGGGAAACTCCGGGCAGACGGTGGAACGACCCTAACCACCACCCGAGGACGAGCCGTCCAGGTCAACTCACTGTGGTTTGCCGACGATGGGGTGCTCATCTGCCGCCCCAACCAGACCCAGCGCCTCCTCGACATCTGCGAGGCCCACAGCATCGAGAATCGATACCAGTTCTCGCCCCCGAAGTGCGAGGTGATGTTCACCGAACAGCACCCAGAGAAGGATGCCAAGGTGCACCTATACGGCAAGGAGCTGCCAGTCGCCAAGGAGTTCCGGTATCTCGGAGCCATCGTCGACATCAACGGCTTCAGGATGGACCGCCAGATCCAGAACCTCACCCACAAGGCTAGAGGTGCCGCCGACAAGCTGGTGAAGCACGGAATGAGTCTGGGCCGATACTCGGCCAAGACGGTGGCGAAGGCGTTCAAGACCTTCGTTCGACCCATGCTCGAGTATGGACTGACCCTCGAAGTGCTCACGAAGCAGCAAGCCGTGATACTCAGACGAGCACAGATGCACTGTCTGACCCGACTCTTCAGAGTGGTGCGGAACACATCCTATGGAGCGATGCACCTCAGATGCGGG